CACCTACAGCACAGGCAGAGTTGSATCCAGGCGGGTTTGGAAGATCTCCAGAGAAGGAGACTTCACAGCCTCTTTGGGCAGCCTGTGCCAGGACTCTGTCACCCTCACTGTGAAGTTCTTCCTCACATGCAGATGGAACTTCCCGTGTTTSAGCTTGTACCCATTACCCCTTGCCCTATTGTTGGCCACCACCGAGATGAGCTTGGCCACATCCTTCCGACATTCTCCCCTCAGGTTCTTATAAATATTGATCAGATCTCTCAGTCTTCTYGTCTCGATGCTAAACAAGCCCAGCTCTCTTAGTTGTTCAGCCCATTTATCACCACCCTCTGAGCTCTGCCATCCAGCCAGTTCTCAATCCACCTCACTGTCCACTCATCTAAGCCACAATTCCAGACCTTTCCTATGGGGATTGTTATGGGAGACTGTGTTGAAATGCCATCTCACTGAATGTGAGACTCACAACATCAGAAAAAAAAGGCAGACRAAATTTTACAGAAGAGTCTTGTTGCCCTCCCTGCTGCAAGTCCAGTATTTCTCAGCATTTCCAGTATTAGATACATTCTGCAATATATATTCGCTCAGAAATTTATTTTTTAGCAGAACACATCTAACAATTCGAAACATAAAGACTACACATCAGTTCAAATTACAAGCTTGACTGTCTGGTTCAAAAAAAAAATCCTTACACTCCCTTCACTCTTTATTTTTAATACTTATCCAAAAAGTTGAGATTTGTGGACCAAATACTTCTTTCAGGGTTCAGTGATAGTATTCCATTGGTTCCAGAGCAACTACATATCTTCAACCAAGTAAAGGACATACATAAACATATTTTACCAATGTACCTTACTGCAAAGATGAAATATAAATTAAAAATTAAAGAAAAAAGAAAAAAGAAAAAAAAAACTTTCTGTTGCATCCTCTTTTTTGGAAATAATTTGGAAGTAATTCTGTTTTTGTGTGTGTGTTTTCTTTTTTTTTAGTCTGATTCGATGACTGGTTTTATTTATTTGAAAATCTTTGAAAAGTTTTTATGCATACTTATTAACTTAACTACACCACACCCATTCAGAGGGATTTTGCCATGTGATTCAATGACTTACCAGAAGAAATCATTTTGCCATCAGCAACAGAACAGGTTGATGGGATCAAGAAATTCTGGYCTTCTATTGAGGAAGATCAGTGCCACTGATCAGCCATTAACAGACAAACAGACTTCAAAGTGATCAGAGCACATTACACTTTCTAAGGGTGGATTCAGCATGTTTTCAGCATTCCATCTTTGTTTCGTGTTTTGTTCTTCTACCCAACTTATTTTATGTCAGTGTAAGAAAATCCGCTAAAAAAATTATTCTGAAGGTCAAAAAAGGTTAACATAACATTTTGTGTTATCAAGGGATAATAACAGAAACTGTGGATGTAGTGGGGAAAAAAAAGGGAAGACATGAGATCATCTTCTCTACAAATGAAGCCAAACAGTTCCACAGTTATGTTGAGGTCAGACAGTTTTGTATGTTTTGGTGATAATTTCTAGAACACATTTTTTGTCYACTGATTCATGGAAAACTAAGAGCCTGACAAATAAACCAAGCAATAAAACATTCCCGCTACTGAAATAGGATGTAGCATTTTGAATTTTAGAATCTCTTATAGAGCTCTGCCAAGAAAACTATTCAAGTGTTGCTCTATGTGTAGCAGTAGGAGCAAAAAAATTCATCTTATTCTAAGTAGTATTTTCAGTGACCATACTATACTGGAAATGGGACCAAATTTTTAATGAACAAAACAGGAATGCTTCATGGTGAAGGAAAAAATAGATACATATCATTAAATCATTTTTTCATCCAGTTTTGGAATGGGCCTTAACCTTGCATTTGACCATCTAATCCACAAACATACCTACTTGCAAGMTAATTTTGGAAAACAGGAAATTAGTTATTTTGGAAGAATATAAATTATTGCTCCAATTTCCTGCATTTATAACCTTGTCAACAGAAAACACGAGTTTGTTGATACAGATCATTCTCAACGGGAGTCATGAATGTTAGAACACATAACATCTATTACCACCAGTAAAAATTCAGATTTAAAACCTTCTTACCTCAGCAGGACTGCGCAGTTTAAGCTGCTTTAAGTTAAATTACCTTTTCATGCCACTGCTTTTCCTGACCTTTGTGCTTGTTTATTGTGTGGCTGTCAGGTGAATCAGACCATCTGAATCATTCTGTTCCCTGGATTACTTGTCAATTGGATCAAATCCCTTGCTCTGATTAACTTCACAGCTTTAAACACTTGTGTTAGCAGAACTGAAAGAACAGAAAACAGTGGAGAAGGAAAAGGGCTGCTTACACTATATGTTGTTGTCAATAGGAATTTATATCCAACACCCASTGTGGACCTGGCTCGAGCTTCCTGGCATTGGTCATTGGTACCACTTCCTCAGAACAGTATTCTGGAATTTGGCTACCCCAGGTAAACCCAACATAAGATTCCTTAGATCTCTTCAGTGGTTAAAGAGTCTCTATCCAAAGTTTCAATTATCTGTATCTCTGTATTTAAGTATCTCTGACTTAAAAACATCAAGGGCATGTAACACATGAATGAAACACTTTGCAGCCTTCTTAAAGCACTGCAAAAACACACCAGAGTGATGGTTTCCTATGAAAATATGCCCGTGCTTCCTTCCCTTCCTCAAGGCCTTCATCATTTTGGGGCTTCGGACAGTGCTTTCAGAGATCCTGGATCTATCACCAAAGCATTTCATAGCTAGCTCTGTCTTCTGTTCCTAACATCTCCTCTGGCTGCTAGAATATGTGGTCTGGCACTAAAATGGCTTCTACTCCTTTCAATACATTCCACTATGAAAGTGTCCTTTTTGCTCCTCACATCTCTGTCTTCTTCCCTTTGGAGACTCCAGGCCATTGCAACCAGCATGGGGAGAGTGGCTCCCTTTCATTAAAGTCAGTCTGTTGCTTGTACCAATGGCTCCRCTTGATTCTCTTGCTCCTTTTTATCCTTACACAGGCCTGGATGTGAATGACACAGTGGTCTACACACTTACACACACTGAAGCATTTAATGATGCATGATTTAATAAAAATAATCAGTATTATATAAATCAATGTCCCGAACTGGCACATTTATTTTTTTCTATGCATCATAATAATGTATATTAATACACTGAATTTTGAAATGGCTACATAAGCATAAATTAAAAGACAAAAATGCAGACATTTTGCTTTTGGCTGAACTAAATCATATATGTTACAAAAGGAGAAATAAAATACTGTCAACATCATTTTCTTTTGTAGTCCTTTATAGGCCTTCACCTTTATAGGACCTTCATAGGACATCACTCCTTCTGCATTATAATTGGATGTCTAAGACCTTGAACCTACTGTTGCAACTGGAAATTGCTACTGCTCCAGCAGTTGGGAACTGCTTAAGTTACTTCAAAGTTAAGTAGTTTGCTTAAGCATTAGAAAGCAGTGAAGACACTTGATATGAGGCCTCAAATTCTGGCCCTAACAATGAACAGTTCTTTCTAAAGGAATGACAGCAAAGAAACAAAAAACCAAGAACAACTTCTATGTTGCAATAATCACAACCAGGGAAAAAAATACAAAAGTGTAGTACGTATCTCTGTTGGTCTGCTATTTATGCTCAAAATCCACCAATATACAAAAGGATCATTAACTCCGAATCATCAGCTCCACTTATGACATATTTTTTTGTGCATAGTTTTCCTGTTTCTGTTTTAATATCAGAATCATTACCAATTACAATTCAAATACYCCCAGCAATAGTCGATATCATCATTCCTTATCCTATTCAACTTATGTAGGGAAACTGGCAATAAGATGTTTCTGATTTTGAATGAAAATTGTATCTACTGCATATTTAAAAAGGGATGCTAACAAACTCATTATTCATTTCAAATATTCAGTCAGACTAAGGCAACAAAGTTTTGTTAGGTTACACTACAATTTTAGTGAAAGTGAATGCATTCAGAAGTGATTTTACATGAAAATCCTATGAAATCTAAGTCAAGTCYCAAATGTTTATTTTTTTATGGTTTTCTACTAGTCATATAATTGTGCTGGCCCTCGAATAAGCAGTAACATCCCACTACTATCCCACAGGAGCAATTTGTGTGAATAAAGTTTAGCACATGTCAAGGGCTGCAGGCTTAGGTCAAAAGCATGGAAAATTTCCAGCATCAGAAACAAAAGAATGTATTCATGGGAAAAAAAAAATAAGTGTGTGAGGAGGAGAGGGAAATGGTTTATAGTTTTAAGTGTAGTAAACAGAGACACACACAGTCTGTAAGACAGAAGTATTGTAAAATATAGATTGGAACCTAGTAACTATGTTTTTAGACTAGTCCCAAATCTCAAAAGATATTTATGCTGTAAAGGTCTCTAGAATTCTACTCCTTGATTGCCTTAAGTTCAATACCTGGTGGGCACACAACACGGCTGCTGTCTTGCCCATGGGCTAAGGTCCCCCTTTAACAGATGAAACGTGTGGGATGCAGGGTGTATCAGGAGGATAAAAACCTAGTTGCTTTCTCATTATAATACGGAGACGTAACCAGAGGACAAACACGGCTGTGGGAAGACGAAAAGCATTCCTCAGCTCTCCATTGTAGCCATTTATTTACTTTCTGTGGTCATCTGGAACAGTGATTTATGATTGCTTTTGCTTACAACTGAAATAGTATTGAGCAAATGAAGCACTTGGATTGAAAAGCAGGAGAATCGGGAGAAAAGAAAACAAATATCAGAGTGTCTAATAATTTAAACTGTAAAATGAACTTTTCTACTGCCTGCCTCAGCAAGAGTCTAAGTAACATCAAATAGCGCATATGCCTGAAGCAGAAATGAAAAGTATGAAAATAAAAATCTAAGCAAAATATGAAAACAGAGCTGGCAAGTGAGGATTTCACAGACCTAAGCCTATTTACATGCAGGAGACAAGAAATGTCCACATTTTTTTTACAATCTGGAAGTCATGTTGGTTTGATTGGTTTGTGTGTTAGCTTCCCAGCCAGACCTGATCTTTTGTATCCTCCTCCTAAAACATGGGAGGAGCAGTATGCATTTACAGAGCAGGACTAGGATAGGAAGAAAAACTGCTACCATAAATGAAGGTGGTGTGTACCAGATAAATTGGTTAACATCAACCCACTTATTCCAAGCAAACACCAACGCGTGAACTGTGCATAGCAGCAGAGCTGAATATCCCATCTTGCTCTGAAAAGAGAAAGAAATGTTACTTATTTTTTTCCAAGCTTAGCAAAACATTTCTCTGTTAAGCAAATAGAGAAACCAGGAAGGGCCTCAGCAAACAGACTGAAGTCAAAAAAAAAGAGAACATTGGCTTTGAATTAAATCCCAGGCCTATAATTCAAGATTCTAGTTCTATCCCTCTATGCCACCACAAGCAAAGAAAGGTGAAGCACATTTTTCTACTATTGCTACAATACTGAGCTAACATACACAAGAAGAAAAAATGGATCAGTTCCTGATATCAGGAAAATGTATCAGCAGATATATGTCTAGTAACAGGACAAAAAACAAACAAACAAAAGAACTACACAACCATAGGAGAAAAAAAAAATCCTTCATTCTTCCACTTACAGTGATAGATCTGGTTTAAGATATTTACAAAGTTAAGGAGTAAAAGAAAGGAGAGTAGGCTCCTAGAGGAGCCAGTAAATATGAGTTTCTTATGGATATAGTAGTCTTGATATGGTTAAAAAATGTATTGATCATCAGTCAGGTACTGCCCTTCCAAGTGCTAACCATCAAATTTACAGAATCTGATTTTCAAGTATAAAAGTTACTTGTTAAAAAAAAACTAATCCAGCATACTAGTACTACTCTTTGGGGTTTCTTCTTCTTCTCATACTAATTTAATACTGAAAGCAATCATACATTAGGAAACTCCTTCCTAAACCTGCTGATTTATAGTCTCTCTAGCGCTGACAAATTCTTCATATAGTGAACAGAATCCCAAATCTTTAATTGTCAGAAGACATATTTCACATCTACTTTTCAAATTCAGACTATGTTTTCAAATGTCAGACAATTGGTAGGTCATTTAACTTTCAGCTTTTGGCAGTCAAGGACCTAATTCACCACTTGCATAACTCTAGTATGACTATAATAATGTCAGTAGATCCACCCCTGTCCACCCCAATTCATATTGCTTTTGATAGAGGAGAACTAAGGTCAAAATATACTTAAGTGAACAAAAAGAGCACATCTGTAGCAAACTCAGGACCAGTTGGATTTGATTAAGTGTCTATTTAGAGATATCTCCTCACGATATGCCATTTTTTGAAGGGGCTATCAAGATGAAAGGGTTGTGAAGATAACAYTGCAGATGGAAATTCTATGCATGTATTAATGGATAGGATTTTTCTCACGAACTTTCCTGCTGCCTGTTACTGCTCAGGCAGTAATGAACAGCCAAAATGCCTCAAAGGGAGCAAGAAGTAGTTTTCTTTATGGATTCCCATGTTGTACAGGAATAGCCCCAGCTAGTCCTAGTCTACCTACATCACCTCCTCCAATGGGACACAGGACATTCCTGAAACGTATAAAATGCCCAGAGGTTGACCAAAATGCCTCCAACACTAGAGATCTTGGACTAATAGGTCCTGAAGGGGCAAATGCTCCTGGTCACCAGAGCAGGAGCTAGAAATGATTTAGAGTTGTCCTTCCTATTTTATACTAAGAACCTGAGGCCCAGTCCTCTTTTTCCTCCAAATAAATAACAAATTAAATGCACATTTCTTATAAAGCAGCTGACAAAATGTATTAAGTAAATTTTTAGATTGGTTTCATTAACTCCTCTTACTTTCAACTTCTCATGAACTTAGCTGATAATACACACTCCACAGATGAGGACTGATGACATGCAAACATGACATTTATGCGTACCTGGATGTAGTGGAACTCTCTCCAGGTCAATGAGTGACTGACAGACGGAATTGATGTTATTGCCAATAACGCCAGCAAAGCAAGTCCCAGAATTCCTAGAGACACATAAATTTCCATTCTCCAAACATCATGTTCAATCCAAGCATTTTCTTTTTTTTGTTGGACCTGCCACAAGAACACTACATTTAAAATAATAGACAAGCATACCTAGAGGATTCTGTGAAATACAGATATTTTCACAATAAACATTAGGAAACAACCCAAAGAACATTTTTGTTTACTTGTTTGAATGTCCCTGATTGTAACATATTTTTTTTTCTGATTTTTTTCCACCAGCAGGCAAAGGAGGGCTTTTGAGTGAGAAGAATTTACAGAATTCATCAGTGTCTTGGCCCAGAGGAGACTTGTTCTGGGGCTTGTTATCCTGCCTTCACAGCAGGAGAAATCTTATTCTTTGACAAAAGAAAAAATCCATCTATGGCTAAATACCTTATCTGGCAGATTATAACAACAGGAAATATATTAACAGCACTATTTTAAGGAGCTAATTCAGCAGGCATTCCTCTATGTTATCGTGCCAGGACAGTCATTTAGCTCTACTTTTTTTTTTTTTCTCCAAAACAACACCTTTGCACATTCAGCTGCACTGAATACAATGGCAGGTCTAGACGAAAAGGATGTGAATTTAATTATATAGTGTCAAGGTTTCTCGTATTTACAACAACTTACAACAGTCTTTTGAGGCTACTAGTGCCCACCATAGTGTGGTATGCTCCAGACATGATAATTTCTTGATCTGCACTCAAAGACTGGAATCTCAAGGAAATTTCTAGTCAGATCAGATCAGGTCAGATAACTGATTTGCAGATTTTTCACCAGTTAGTTTTGACCATTTACAGAATTCCTAAGAGGCTAATAACATCCTACTTCCTGTGCTGTAATAAAAATGTACATTTGCTATTTATACCTTATACCTTATACCTTATATATTTACACCTTACACTGGAATATTGCTTATTCTGGAATACTCATGGCAGTCAAGGTGGCATGCGATTACTAGGAACTCTTTAGTCATCTTAGATCTTAAGAATGCTTTGCAAGCACATGACTCAGAAATATGATGGAAAGTCTATGTTTTAACAAGTTAGAGTACATTAGCCAAACTCTTACAGCGTTCAGCAGAGTTCATATCACTGGCAAATGCAAATTATTGTGATTTATGTCAACCCTCCCTCATTGCTGGCTAAATCACTTGACAAAGAAGTATAAAAGGGGTACACGCAGCAATGTTTGTGGACAGATTCTACTGGTGCAGAGAGGATTAATCTACCCTAAGTTTACAGTGCACCAAGGACTTAAATGTTCCTGTGAGGCAAATATAATTACAGACATTTTACAGTAAGCAAGAACACCCCAATGAAGCAAGTGACTTATTTAATGCAAACTGGCACAGCTGTGATAACTCTTGATTCCCCACTGCAAGCCTTAACAACTAGTGCTAGAGCCTGAGCAGGGCTGTGGGAGCTGCTTGGAAGTCAAATGAAGACTATGAAAACAGCTTGGCCTCCATCCAGGTTTGCCTGGATTAACAAAACAGGATTCTCTCAATGCAGAAGTGCTGGCATTTGCGAGCCCATCATACCTGCTGGAATGCCCAGTTCAGCAGCTTGTATCTGTATGATCTTCTCATTGGATAGCATAGGCTATAGCAGGCGTGCATTGTGGCGAAGAAGAAACTGAKAAGTCCAAATTGTTTTCTTGACAACATCCATCTATCCAGCCACTGGGGAAACCTTTTGTACTTGGTGCCAAAGTACAGCTGGAAACCAGCAGCTAATATTCCTGGTAAGTATACCAGTGCTAAGAGGGTAATTGAAACCACTGGTAGAACTTTGTTTATTACGAGAATTGGTATTTTATAGAAAGCATTTTCTTTTCTGGTTATAAAAGGATATATGACGTCTCTCAGAGATGTGTAAATGAACATTAAGAATGAGATCACAGATGCTATCTTCATTGGCAGGTGCCAATTGGGGAATAGATCCTGCTCGCAGTGCTGTTCTGGGGAGTATTCAAACTCACCAAAATGGTGTGCTTGATGTACACTAAAAAGTGCAGCTGCTTCTGGTATATTGGTGACTTGCATATCCACGTTCTGCAAAGGACAGAAAGTAAACTCCAAGTTTGTTTAAAACAAGATTAAAGACTACAGTAATCACTACCATGGTGTTTGCACAGAACATTATTGAAACTGTGTACCCAAGCAAATACCTGCTATTAAAGACAAGGTAGATTGAAAATATAGTTTCACACAGCACGASCATTGGCTGAGCAAGTAAATTTAAGTGTAGATTTCTCATTCTCCATTCATTATCTGCTGAGATTTGAGAACAGGTTTTCATTCCAGGAAGTTAACCCCACCATGAGAGAAGATTACATGATGGGAAGATACAGTTGCAGCTTATGTTATGTGCTACAGATTTCAGGAGTTCAGATACAGACTTAATAATGTAACCCAAATAATATGCATGACAACAGACTCTAGAGACATAACAATGCAATATTTCAGTCAGCTCGTGGTATTTTAATGACACTGATTTCTGGGAGTAGGGATGTAAGTAGAAATGTTTGGGATCCACCATGTTGGACCAGACGTGCATGTTTCGKCTCCAGCTTCAATTTCCACTTTCTTCTTCCTTCTGCCCCAAATCTAACAGTCTCCTCACTTAAAATAAAACATGTGAAACTTCGTCACTTTAGTTTAAAAAGATTAATTTTCTGCTGCAAGGAAGACATTGTTTGATTTTAGCTTCACAGAAGACCTTAGCAAAATTCTAAGTGAAGCTAGCACAAAATTTTAGTGTAATGTTATAAACTGTTTATACTAAGAAAATACATTTAAAGATTGTCCTGTAGTTACAACTTCTGGAAGAGGTACCTGAGCTGTATACATAGAAAATAAAAATGTGTCCCAACAAAAGAACATTTCAGTTGATGCAGTAGACAGCTGCTTGTGGGTGAAGAACTGAGAAATGATAAATTAAATACTAAATATGTAATCATTTAATATTTCACCAAAATATAAGCAGAAAAACATATTAGCTGAACTAAAGCCTCAACTAAAAAGCTAATGTGGCCCATGTCTAGATCTCCAGAAGGAGGAGTGCCGCTATTAGGTTTGAAGATAATTGCTCATAGCATGAAAGCTGTGAATTGACACCCTGCTGGGGTATCGTGCTCACTAGGATTTTATAGCTAAATAGCTAATATATGTTTATCTGATGATAAAAACACATCCATGAAGCAGTGAGTGTGTAGCTTAAGAAAATCTTATGCTCTAGCCCCTGAAAAATGGGAGAGTGTCATCTATACATTAAAGACAGAATCTGAGATAAACTATAGCCACTGAGTTTCATCTCTGAACAGAGTTTAACCTGGTGGTTCCACTTTCTTGAAATGATAGCTGGTAAAAAAGCCTAATTCTGCATTCTAATCTGCGCAATTGTTCACATCAGAATAGGAAGTAGTTGCTTGAACTACTTTGCATCAGCAGCTGCAAATACAAACTCTTTTGGAGATGTTCTTTTGGACTTTGGTTTTGTGTGGAAAACTTAATAAATGTCATCTAGCATTTCCAAAGATGATTACTGTAAAGATAAAACTTATGGCCCTGTACAAAAATTATTACGTGGAGCTTCACATATGGTAGAATGCAAGTGGGTCCTTCATGTAGCTTTTAACTGGCTCAAACTTTGTGTACTTTTTTTAGCAGGGACTATGATTAAATAGAATGAACTGTTCCTTATCTTTTTCTCTCTCTCTGTCAATATTGTGACAGGACTTAAGAAGTATTGATGATATGTCAGTGTTTAGAGAAACACATTTTTTTTTTTCTGGACAAAATTGTATGAAAGACAGCAATACTCTGCATGACATATGAACTGCTTTTTACAGAAACATTACCAAGTTGCTAAGATTTCCTGTATTTCTTCTTGGCTTGATGCTTTGAGCTGTGTTCGGATCAATAGTACAATTATCACCTTCCCTCTTCTCCATTGCGGAAACTCCCTGAAAAACAAACACAGGATGTAAAGCAGGTTTTGAAATGCACTACTGGAACTTTGGGGCCTGTTTTCCCTCAGAATATTTTGCTTCCCCTCCTCCACCCATTTGCCATAGAAGTTACCATGACCTGGAGAACAGAAAGCCTGTCCTTGCAGAAGAGAGCACAAGAGCTCAGCTCTAAGTAAATCAGAGACGAAGACAGGATATGAATCAACTGAACAAAATCATTGATGAAAAAACAGTATTTAAGCTAGATGTCCAGGTCCGTAATAATTTTTGAGACAACTTTCCAATAAAATAGCAGGTAAAATGTTATAAAGGCGTATTTTCATTATTTCATTAAAGACTCTCATGAACTTGTGTCTATCATGGCAAGGGACTAGACTTGATGATGCAAGAAACCCATTCCAATTTGTTGTTCCCAGTATGTTTTAATGTCAGTCTTCTGAATAATCAGTCTGTCTTTAGAATGTTTCTACCCTTTTAAAACTCCAGAAACTCCAGAAAACTCCAGTTGCAGCTTCATTCACTCTCTTCCAAGCTGCACTGCCAATAGTCACTGTTTATAAATCACAAGATGCAACAAAATTGGTTCTTACCTATGAAAAGCCTGGAGAAAGCAGCAGAGAGGAAAAAAAAAAAAAAAAGAACAGATTTAAACAGGAAACAAAAAAGAAGAGAGTAAATGAAAGAGCACGCTGCAACCCCAGAGCTCCTGTGCGTGCATCACTTTGTCATGCACAGCATGAAAAGATGCACTAACCCCCTATCTCTGGAAGCTCAAGGTCTCATACTAAAATATAACTTGCTGTGGATACCTTCATTAAGTCTAGGCAGCTTCTTACTACAGCCATCCCATGGCTAAGTTTTGATCACTTCATATCCATGCAACCTAGGAGAAATCGTATTGACAAACTGGCATTTGACACTTGTCTGTTTCTGCCTTAAACTGCATCTGGCTCTTGCAATAGTTTGTCTGACAGACTTGTACTTTCTAGTATGAGGATTTATTTTCTGCCAGGCAATCAGACTTCTGGCACCTAAGTTTTCTTCTCCTAAATATTTCTTTTCTCGTTTTTTCCTGTCCTCCTAGCATAGGTTATGCCTTTGGGCATAACCTTTCAGCTAAGTATTGCAGAGTTAAGGTCAACAAGAGCTGCTCTCTGAAGGTCAGGCTGTTAACCCTTTGCTGTGCCAGCCAATGGCCCTCCACATTTATACACAGGTTTGTATGTCCTGTACACAAGAAAGCATGAGCTGATGAAGGTAGAGGTTCTAGTGATTTTATCACAAGCTTCATGATATCAAGGATATCTCTCAGGATAACGTGAGTTCTAAAGATTTTAAACAGCTTGCAGCACATATCTTTACTGCCTTACATTTCTCTGTACTGATCTCAGTTAAACTTTCAGTTGTTACAATCTATCTGAGTTTACAGAGCAATCGTGTTATCTTCAGAGCGGCTTTTTTTCAGCTTCCATACTTTACAGCATCCTTCTAATGCACCTTTGTGGACACAACTGTACTTGCGTGTCCAAAAGCATATTCTAGATTGGGAAGCTCTGTGTGGAAACACTGATTAACTCACCTGATTTGCATGCTACTATCACTCAATTTGGAAATGAGGAATTTAGTAATAAACTCCAGGTAAAGGTTTGTATTGATAAGGATGCATAAATCTAATGATATAAACCCCTTCCCCCGAAAACCTATCAGCCAGAATGCCAGCTGCTGCTTCAAAAGACACTTTCAGTGGTTCTTTGAGGAAAGAGCAATGTTTAACACTTTGTTAAATACACTCTTAGTGGTTTATACTGCAGGAGACAAAAAGGAAAGAGAAAATGGAAAGATGATGTTAATGAATGCTAGTGCTCTCCCAGGGAAATAAGGGTTACACATGTGCAACTATGCACAAGGGAATATAGGTGCTGACCTACAACAGTACACAGCTTCTTGATCCAGGGGTAGCATAAAAAATTATTTCTTTGGGTACACCCAATAACAGGACTCTTATATTACCATTTTTTCCACACCTATGAGCTCTTGGGAGGAAAAAAAGTTATCTGCAGTATTTCCCTCTTGAGAATACATCTGAAAAACAAATTAAGAGTCTTGTGTGAGACAGATAAAACCCAATCAGTTTTGGTCCTCTGTAAGTCATCGAAGTTACAGAAGAAAGCAGCAGTGGCACTGCCCCTCTGCAGGACATTGTTCCTCCAGCTACATCTGCGAAGCAGAGCGGAGCAYGTTCTGCTGCAGAAAGCCACGTTTCAGATGCTGGGAGTCACTCATGACTTTTKTAAGACAGAAACTGCCTCCTTGTACTGTTGAGCCGATGGAGAACCAAAGGCCTTGCTCTGGGGAAGCATCTCTGGAAGTCGATGAGAGGGTTCCTCAGGAAAGCCTTCAGAAGCCCTGAGGCTGCACTGAGTGAGCAGAGCAGACAGAGTAACCGGGATACACAGCGATAGTGCACTGGAACAGCCCGGGATAGCGGCTTCACTGCTAAACTGCAACGTGAAACTTTTCAGTCTAAGCGTGCAGCTTTGGCTGCACCCGCTGCACTGTGCGGGAAACTGCAGACATAAGTAACTCTCCCTGCTCCTCTGCTTATCCAGCTCTTTAATATTTAAAAAAAAAAAAAAAAAAAAAAAAAAAGCTGAACTTTGCGGAAAGCCTAATAGAAAACCGGTAGATTGGGCATAGGGGAGTGTGGATCGGTGCCTTCCCGCGGCCAGAGCGCGCCGCGGGACCACCCGGTCCCGGACGGGCAGCAGCTCGGGGAGCGGGGAGGTCCCGCGCTCCAGGGAACTCCGCGCTCCAGGGAGCTCCGCGCTCCAGGGAGCCCCGTCTCGCGCCGCCCCGTCCGGGCGCTCCCCCATCTCGGCGGCACCGGCGGCTGCCGGGCACCCGGCGGGCCCCGGCCCGGCCCGGCGCGCCCCGGTTAGTGCCCCCGGAGCGGGGCGACCGGCCGAGTCTCCCCGTCCCGCGCCCGCCCCGCACCTGAGCGCGGCGGCCCGGCCCGCGGCGCGGGCGCGTTACCCGCCCCGGCCACTCACCGCGGCCAGCGCCTCCCGTGTTCTGTGCCGTGCCGAGCCGCGCTCTGCCGTGCCGAGTCGTGCCGAGCCGAGCCGTGTCGTGCCGCCTCTGATGGGAGCTTGGCGCTGCCGCGGCCCCCTCGGCTGCCCCCTGCAAATCCCCACCCAGGAAACGAGCTGCTCAGCCGCTTCTTCCTCCCCGGCCGCTTCTGCCACGCTAGTCCCTCCCCCGCTCTTCTCCCCGGCGAGGAGCCCGGCCAAACCGGGCCGAACCTCGGGCAGGCAGCGCCCCGGCGCCGCTCCGGCCTCGGGCAGGTCGCACCGCGCCGGGAGCCCCGGCGCGCGGCGGCTGCACCCGCCGCGCCGCCACCGCGCCCCCTCTCTGTCCTTCCTTCCTGACAATATATATACATGTACATATATGTGTATTCTTTTTTTTTCTTTCTGACTTGGTGTTTGACAGACATTGTCTCCAAACTGAATGATGCATCTGTCAGAAAACGAGGAGGATGCCTTAGAAGGGACAAAAGAGCAATTGCTCTTCTTGTGTTAAAGCTTTATTTTTTTTTCTATATAGTTGCTCTTGTTACAGATTTCATCTGTGTTCTGTATGAAATGAAAGCAGTTTCCCTCATGCTTTCCATTATTTTTCCTTTTTATTTTTTTTCCACAATGCACTAATGCACAATGCTAACTTTTGTATACTCTCACTCTTTTTTTTTTTTTTTTTTTTTTTTTTTTTTTTTTTTGAATCCCATTTGGTTTCCCTCTCTCCTCCTTTTTTTGCACCATTTCATTTGTTGCTTAGTCTCCAGTCACCAGCATCAGCAGGGTGACACCTCGCGGCCAGAGCGCCGTCGCTCTCAGAGCAGCACCCACGGACCGTAACGGAGAGAGGCTTGAACAAGCGCCTGTAGTCTTATGCTAGGGCCTAAAAACAACATTTCGTTCCACGCCAAGTGCATTCAAAACTCGAGTTTTTTACTCGAGTAAAGCTCGGACATCTCTAGTGTATTAGTCTGGTGTTATTGGCAGTAAGTTTGTTGACAAAAAGTAGTTCTAGACGTCGAGCTATTTCAACATCTGGATATCTTGTCCTAATTTAAGACTTAATTTTTAATTTTTTTTTTTAATAGCTCAAGAGTGACTAGGCTTCTGAAAAAACCTCCTCAGAAGACAAAATCGAAATAAACTGCAARGGAAAGAGATGGGCATTAGGGCATTAAGCAGCTGGCAGGCTGCTCTGCACAGTTACCGCTGAGTTGCTCTGGCTCTTCTCTGCATCATGAGTGCCTGTCTGTGAATAAACATGGCAAACTCATTTTACATGGGTGCAGGCAAGTGGAAGCACATTCAAATGCTAGGGAAAACTTTGTTTTCATGGCTACCCCCAGGCTTTGCTTTCAGCTCATCCAAAGCACCAATTGCAATAGAGCAGTTACTGGAAAGTAAACTACATGACAGTCATCGCTCAGACTTATATCTAGATGATAGTGCAGCATGCTGACAAATTTTAATGGCAACTTATGCAAATGCTATGCAAGAAGTGTGAGACATAGTAGGAAGCATAACAGGAATCAGAAGCTGATTCAAAATGAGGTAATTTTTCTTGGCGTGTGTGGAATGAGGAAGATTTCACTCACAGAAAATTATAGTTGTGCAAGATTTGGCTGTCTCTGAACATTTAGAAGAGTGTTAGTGTTTCTAAACTAGCAAAAGCTGAGTGAAAAAGGGTATTATCTCTGTGCCTGGTCAAGTGTAACAGGGTATTTTCTGGAGAAGAAAAACACTTTAGTTACTCTGTCTTAGCCAGACTGTGCTTCTTTTTTTTCAGTACAGAGTTGGGGGTTATGTTGACAAAGCCATGAGAGAAGATTGTGTTTTCTGCAAGAAAAATGATTGCATCATCGACAGAATCACTTGATTGTGGTTAAATCTGCAGAACATTTTCATTTCACT